GCCACCACAGTGTATGTGCTATACATATATGTCGGCACAAAACCATCACACTCACCCGATAAAGTTGTGTACTCCGAGTAACCTCTGAAGTCTGCAAGCGTACAGTCTGTTGAGGCAGCAGTGCGCATATGGCATGCCCCCCCATGTACTTGTTGGGCCTGGAACAGAGTAATCGTAGTGATTTCAAGCAAGCAGGCGTAAACGTGCCATTGTGTATATGTGCAGCGAAAATAAGATATTGGCGATTGCTACAGCATTTGGAAGAGAGGCTGGCAAAGGCATGTCTTCTCAGTTTCGCGACCTTGTCGAGTGATGCAGGCACAGGGTTGGGTGTTCGTGCTAACCGGCCGGTTTGGGACTAGTGGCGTCTCAGACTTCCAAGTTCCAAACCTGCCCGATGCGCCCTCTCTCCACACACACAGCCCCAACATCACGACACGATACACGCCAAAAACCACACCACACTCGCTATCCGCACACATCGATCGCTTTCTAGCGCGCCATTACCACCAGAATTTCACGGAGAGAAGGTTAAATCGCTGTTTGGGAGATCCGGCAGGGGGGTCAGAGCCTCTGTGGCTCTCAGGGACGACCGTTCAGCGCCATGGATAGACGCAACAGCGACGATAACGAGCCATCGCGGCGCTCGAGCGAACCCGATGTTTTCGATGATGATAACGAAATCGATCCGAGCGAAGATGACTTCATGCCCTCAGTTTCGGACGGCTTTCGGCCAGCCAACGCTAGCGAGACGTGGCACAGCGACCGCCAGGACCACGACCGGATAGCTACACCGCAGCGACAGACGTCCACGTCAAAACACAACAGCACAGATTTGCGGAGGACGGCTACGCGGAACAGCACCGCAAAGGTACACGATCCCATGACGCAAGATGGCCGATCGCCGCTCAACAGGGGACCTAGCCAACGGTCACCCCTGGGACATACACATCGCGACTCTGTGAGCTCTACGGCGTCTTTCGCGACAACAAGCAACTCAGAAAATCCTTTTGAGACAGGGCCCAGCCACCCCTATGGCATGTATCCGCAGCTATCCATGGCGCGGCCATTGAGTGTGGCGACGAGCTCGACAGAGCGACAGCCGCATCGATCCATGTCGTTACAACGGCCCACTCATCCGTATGCCATGTACTCGCAGAGCGGAATTGTCGATGAGGAACCACCAGAAGAACCCACACGGCCATCTGCGCCCCCGGTACAATCGTCTATTCCCGTTGGATTCCCAGGCCTAAACAATGGCTACCATCGAGTGCTTGGGCCCGATGGCGAGGAGCAGGACATCATTGGACCAGACGGTCACACAGAGCAGCTTCCTCCGTACTCAAGATATCCAGAAGAAGGTCCAACCAAAGCATCCTTGGCCGCCGAGGCAAGCGCGTCGCGTGTAGTCCCTGCACCCGCCCAAGTCGATCCAGATGACCCTTTCAATTCTCCGCCGTCCCCCGTGTCACCACTGGGTTCAACATCCTTCTCTACATCCTTCTCTACATCCTCCCTCTCAACTGCTACTACTCCTGCAGCTCCTATCTTGCCTTCCGTCACACCCGCCCGTCTGCCGCCTCAAAGACCAGAAACTCAAACCGGCAATGTGGCAGCCACTACTTCCACTACCCCATCAAGCAACCACACTATACCAGCTGAACCTTCAGACTCTTCGTCTGCGTCATTGTTGGCGAATGAAAATCAGTTTTCAGAGAAATCGGAGCTGGCTGACGAGAAGACCCCTTGGCGGAAGAGGAAGTTATGGGGCAAAGTTCCAATGGGCCTTGCCCTCGGAATCCTAACAACTATCATAGTCCTTGCCGTCGCCCTTGGAGCTGTAATCGGTACCTTTGCTACGAAGAAACAAATCACTGACGAGAACGATGAGGGAAATCGTCACCCACATGAGGAAGCGTAAGTCATTAGCTATCTGACAACCCCCACTCACTGACTTTGAGTAGCCAACCGCAGGTCACTGGTCAAAACGGATCCCTTTTTGACGCTGTCCCTATCTCGGCCCCCTCTGGCATGGCCTCAATACCTACAGGGCCTTTCGCCCTTCCTATGGGCATGCCGCAAGAGAGCACTCCCGGATGCTTAACTCAAGCAAATCAATATTCTGCATGGTCGTGCAAGATGACTTTTGCTCCCCTCGTTATAACAGTTAACGAAACTACCGTCAATGGTGATACCGTACAGGTAGCATCCATGGGCGCTGGTCCTTCTGTACCAAAAGGAACTATCCTCTATGGCCTCCAAACCCCCACGCTAGACAAGAAGCCACTTAGCCTCGTGCTTGACCTGGATTTCAAGGCGTATGGCCCGGCTTACCATTTTTCTGCTCGGTATGACAAACTGGTCATCCTGCCACCAGAGCAACTCAACCTTGGGTCAGCACTCACGACACGACAAGAAGTAAAGTATAGGCAACGATTCGAGGTGAAGCCTGGTGACTATCCCTGGTATTGTTACTGGAATGACACATATATCGAGGGTTATATCTACGTACAGGACAACTCGACGGCAGCCTCGTTTACGTCTTTTCCTACTCAATGGCCTACTCCCACTCCATCCACCCTGGAAACCGTCTCCATTGAGGCTTTGACCGTTACAGCAACAACAACAGACACTATTTCAGTGGACATTGTAGAGACTGCCAAGCCAACTACATCTGCTTCTGCTCGTGCCAGTCGACGAGATACGCCCCCCGATGATCCTCCACCGCGTATGCCACCATACCCGCGTACTGTCAAGATTGAGGAGCGTCGCCTCGCCAACTCGCCACAACCGTACTGTCAACAGATGGTTTTGCTGGACAACGGAGAGATTACGACAGCACCAGGTCCAAACGACAGTCCAATCAGAATATGGTTGCAAGAGGCAGATCCGAGCTACGAAGAGTTCCTTGCTGCTCAGCCCAGCAATGGCCCGTCAAACAAGGGCAAACGTCAAAGCCCTCCTGAAATGCAGAGACGTGCCGACCCACCAGACGCCTGCCACTGCCAGTGGATGTTTAGTTGAGCAATGTGCGCCTGGTATAAGATTTCTCATTTTTTATCTATCTCTGGAGCGAGGGCTGCATTTTGGACTACGACTCCTTTGTTTTCTTTTCTTTTCCACGCAAGCACTGGGTACATTTTATGTTGTGGTGTTTATGGCGCTTTCCCACTCGGCTGCTTACGAGTTTTCACGCATATCCGGCAGATACCTGTTCTCATTTTTTTAGTCATATTGTTGCATGCTATGCTCATAGCCTTGTCTCTGTATCTTTGATAGGATGGAAAGGGGATCCTATCGGTCTATATCGACGTACAATGTTCCTTCACTAGCTTGTACATATTGCGGTGGTTGGATCCGGAACCGCGAATTATAGTTGTCGCGTGAGTTCATGCTGAAGAAGTAGTAGATAGAATAACCTGGAATACCATTGACAATCATATCAGTCTACGTACTTATCGCAGATTTATTAGTGACTCCCCTCCCTGTGATCAAACCGGGCATTGACTATCCGTTTGCAGTCTCATTTTCCAGGAGGCGAGGGTCGTTCTTGCATAATCACGATCCGCCAGCCTGCGGCGTGTTGTATGTGTGCAACCGAACGAGGACTCATAGCTCAACAGCGTAGCGTCTGGATTTCGACAACCAGCCCATATTTAATCTCACTTCGATGAAGGAGAACCAGTCTTCCAACGCACACTCTCTCGTCCTTGCGTAAACCCAAACCGCCAATCCTTTTTCAGCTGGCCGCTTAGCTATTCTCATCGCTTACCATTATACATAATCTGGGAGCGCAACCGCTTTAGTGTGTGCTACAACACATAATTCTTGCAAAAAAAACGCCCTGTCTCTCTCCTTCTCTACGGCAATGAATTACTGAAAGAATTCAAAGTGGGCCAAACTTTTTGCGATGATTTCACGATATTCTACGATCATGATCGTGTATCCCAGAAACCAAGGTGAACGTGGCTGCGATGTAGCATGATGTGCAGGCAGCAATGTTGCACCTCCAGGTCCGACTGGGCATATGCACCCCAATGCGTTTTGAGGAAGAGGCTTATACGAGCGTGCCGTCTGGCTCGCCAGGTAGTCGTTTAACACGCCTCTGTTCCCAGTCCTCGAGATCTTTCGCTTGCAACCGCTGCAAATCTGTCAGCTCGGGCCATTGAAATCCTATATCAGCATTGTACGTACGTAGTACTCATCGCGCATGTTGACCTTCCTCCGCTCCCCTCTGAGGCCCATTGCTTGCTCTTGTGTGATCTGTTGGTTTTTGCGGTCGTATCGTTCGTATCGCAGTGCCGTGGCGGGTGTCAGCATGAAAGACCCTGCCACCATGGTAGTGAGAAACGGCAGGCCAAAGAGTAGGAATGGGTGCTTCTGAAGCGATTTGCGGTATCGCGCTGCAAGCGAGTTGGGCAGCGTGGCGCTGAAAGACTTGGATGTGAAGGGGCCTGGCATGGTTCGAATTTGTCAAGGCTAGGCCCGGGCGGGCAGACAGGCAGTTTAGCAATATGGGTACAAGGTGATTTGGCGTGTTCTCGGATCGGGGGTCGGGCCTGCAAGTTCTGTCTGAAGATGGATGATGTAGTGCAGTTGCGGAACATCGCTCTTTCCCGAGACAGGACTTGGCGGCGTCCCGTGACTACGTGAATTGTCCAACACGCGCCTCACGTAATCCCACCCACGCCCCCCTTTGGTATGCATTGCTCTTTTGCCATACGCCATCACTCACGACAGTAAAGCGACAACAGCCACAAAATCAGGTCAAATCAAGCACGGCAGACCAGACAATATTGCCACTCCCAGGCAACCATTGGCAGCAACGTTCAACCACGAGTCTTTCAGCATCCAATCATACACCACTTTACTCGTCAACGATAGTGTCCGAGAGTGCACGAATTTTCTAATAGTATTCTGAGTGTAGATGGTCTTGAAGGAGCCTCGGTCTTCCCTTCTACTTTCCCAAGTCATGCTACACCGGTAAAGTGGCGTCCATCATGGCCCGCAAAGGCGGGGGCTCGACTCAACGTATGGCTCCGCCGCCTATAACAAGTGGGCATTCAAATGGCATCCCTCCGCCGTCGACTATTGCTGCGCAGATTGTTCACAATGCCTCAAATGTCAACGCGCAACGCGATGAAGCTACCAAAGTCACGTTTGGTGAGTTGGTCAAAGAGTTCTTACAGCACCCAAACACGGATGAGCCTGACCCTCAGCTGGTTGCACTCATATGTGTGATTGCCGAAGCAGGGCTTGAGGGCCTTTTCAAAGATGACCCATTTGCTCAAGATCAACAAAGACAGCAGGGGATTGACAGCATTGCGGCACTCATGTTTATCTTGCAGCAGAAACCGCATCTGCTTGTGAGCATCAAACAGGGTGACGACGAGAGCATTGCTGGTCCTCCGCTCATCCTCTGGCTGTACCCTAAGCTGCTTGGTTTGTTGACACATACGACACTGCAACCTGTACACAAGCATGTCCAGCAGCTTTTGCATCTTTGTCTCAATGCATTGACTCAGACTTCTACATTATGGCGTCCAGCGGCAACGGTGCTGCAGCTCTACAGATCTTGCGTACAATGTAAGTGATTTCCATTAACTCGGCACATTTTTTGTAACCATTTCCAGGTATCCTTTCGGAAGTTGGGGCCTTGGACAACCCGGACTCACCCCCAGCGTCGTCTTTCAGTCTAGTTCTACCACCATCAAGCGCTGTCAACAGCTTCTGGCCAGAAAGCCAGCAGTTCGTTGCATTACCTCATGATCTGCAGCGGGCTATCTCGTCTCATCACGGAGCTATTCACATAGGCTTTTGCCTCTTACTTGCCCTGGTAGATACTATACACTCGCAAAGCAAGCCACTTTCAACCTCGGTTACCCTGGAGCATCACTTGCCTTGGATCGTGGACAGCGTGCAGGTTTTGTGGCGGCATTACAGACGTTGGACGGTATCTTCGGAGAGGCGCGCAATCTATGATGAGATTCTGCTCGTATACATGCAGTTGCTGGAGTCATTATTCATCTCTTCGGTTACGCCTAGAGATCGGGCGCCAGCTTCGTCGAAGATCGCTCAAGCGCTCACCAGCAGTCTTGTAGAACTCCTCCATAGCCCGTCTGCTACGCAGACATCAGAAGTTATTCAGATCCGAATAGCATCCATATTCACTCGCCTGCGCAGCATTCTTGGCTATCAATCAATTGACAACTCGACCCCGCGACGACGACAAGATGTAGCCCGACATGTTGTCCAGAACGAAATTGAGCATGCTGTGAACAGGCTGTTTCAAGATGAAGAATGTTTCGTAAAACTCCATAGAGACTTGCAGGTATGCAGTCCTCCCTGTAGTGCGTTCTTTGACTGACGAAACCAAGCTGGCATTTTGTCTTTGGGCCTCACCAGGTATACAGTCTATGCAAGTTGCAGAGCTACGAAAAGAGCTTTGTGAGAATGAATTTGGCAGTTTCTCTGATGTTCAACTTTCCGAGGAATCAATGTCCGCTGTCAAGGCATTCCGAGCCTTAAACCTGGGTGACGGAGATAGACCAGCCAAGCGGCGGAAAAGGTTGCCAGAATCTTCAGAAGATATCAACCAGGATACTCTTGAGCGAATCAGGGTAATTTTGAATGGTAGCATAGAGGAATCCCCGACGATCTGCTTGTCTAATCCGCAGGAAGTTATTGAGTAAGCTAACCTAATTCACTCCTTACACGACGCTTACCTGTATAGGGCGAGATACTTTTCCCTGCCGGATGACGAGCAGGAGAATGAGAGTGCACAGAAAGAAATTATCACAGCATTAACAAGAGTTGCTTGCGCTGGTTCGCGATCTCTGGAATTGCCACGGCTCACGTCGCATTCATTGGATTCCCTTAATTGTACCTTGTGTGATATCAATAACCAGCAAGAACGAAGTGAAAACTCTTATTGGAACCTCCAGGATCGCTCCGAGAACTGGAAAGATGCCATTGAGACCATGCTTGCAATCGTCAGGGAAGAAAAATTTCAAGCATCGTCACGATCAAAAATCCTCATGGCTGTGGCTATTGGCCGTTTATACAACCATATCTCAGATGCTGAATATTTAGCTCTTGAGTATTGCGGGCTAGGACAATGGTTACTTGCAAGTATGAGCAGATCCCTGCGAGAGCTGAAAATTGCAGCTGCGAACTCCCTTATGGTTTTTCTTCGCAACGACATTTCGAGAAGTACCCGCGAAAAGAACCGGAGGTATACTATAGAGTTTCTCGATGCACTCGCAAAGAGAGATTTTCTGTCCGACCAGGAGACGCTAATCATGGCTTATGGTCGAATTGCTCAAACATGCGGCGAACTGGAGCTTCCAATCATACTGCATCATCTCGTCGAGTACCTTGGTCACCCGAACGCACTAGTGTGTGGTATGGCTTACCGTGAGCTCGAGTCAATTGCCAAAGGACTTTCCATGGATACAACGCAGTTGTTGCGCCCATACTGGAAAGTTATCGGATTTTCCGTTATCAAGGATATTGTCAACAAACCCCAGAAGGCACAGCAATTGGCAGATCTAACTGAACAAAGCGTTCGCCAACTTCTTGTGCAAACTCAATCGGACACACTACCTCATCTTGTGTTGAGTAAAAGGAGAGATATCATTGAGAAGATTGCTCAAGCACGAAAGGCCGCCGTTATCGACGTATTGACGTATCCAAGAGTCAATCTTGCTAAGATCTTAGCTTTGCTTCTATCACAACCTGTGCCTGATGTTGAACGCACTGCAATGGAAACACTGGCTGCTGTTGAACCCGCTATTCGTGACGGCAGCAATAACAGACTGGAGTCCTGGGTTGCGCTGGACATAACGGGCATTGCTATTGAAATACTCTTGTTAGCAGCTGATCAAGAAGGAGTCAGAAAGAAGCCGTTTTACAACGGGTTTACCACACTCGCAACGCTTGCACCGGATACCAAATCAGGCCCGCGAAAGTCTACGTCGAAATCAAAGAACCTTGATGCCTTCTGCGAAACACATATTCTCGGCATCATAGCATATTTCTCCAATGTGATCGAAACACCAAACTCTCCTGGAAAGACTGTGCCGTATACCATGCCGGAGCGGAGGAGGTGTATAGCTGCCATTGGCGATCTCATCAATCTCGCTCTCTACAGTGTGAACGGGGCTTTACCTCAGATCCGCGCTTGCCTCCAGTCAGCTATGGCAGATCCCCATCTTTGCGATGATACGTTCAGTGTCTGGTCAGATTTCCTATCAGCTCTCGATGCAGACGAGACAATGCTAATCATCGATCAAACTTTTGCGCTGATCGTCCAGCATTGGAATATTTTCTCGGAAGAGACACATGCCAAGGCTCACAAAACCATCGAAAACATTATTGCACAGCACAACTCACAACTCCGAGCAAGAGTTGAGTATCTCCCTTCCCTGGGAAGCATTCCGATGTTGTCCAAAATAGAAGGAGAGCTAGTCAGATTTAAGGACATGGTAGAGACAATCAAGGTCTTTCATGCCTTCAGCAATCGGTGCAAAGATCAGAATTCTGTCGTAGTGCGTCAAGCACTTAGAGAGCTTGTGCCCTTCTTGGAAGAAAACCAGGAAGAGCTGCATCAGTCGGTAGTCGGCCAAAAGCCACTTCCTGTGTTGGCAGCCTTGACTAGATCTCTCCTTGATGCTAGCGTTCGATTTTCCGAAGACCATTCTGATATCACCATACTATGTGCACAGTGTCTCGGAATCATCGGTGGTCTTGATCCATATCGAGTAGAGACGGTTCGAGAGAAAAAGCGCGTATTGATGCTGTCGAATTTCTCACGTAGAGACGAAGACATTGACTTCGTAGCATTGCTTCTTGAGCAGGTCCTCGTCAAGGTTTTCTTGTCTACAACGAACGCAAAAGCACAAGGATGGATTGCCTATGTTATGCAGGAGATGCTAAAGCACTGTGGTTTCAGTGCTCTTCGCGGAGCAAAGCCTCGGTCATCTCAAGGCAGCACGGAGGCACAACGCTGGAATAATATTCCAGAAGCTGTGAGAACCGTATTGACACCTTTCCTGGATTCAAAATACTCTGTCAATATGAATCCCGCTTTGCAATACGAGGGCGCAAAATACCCCATCTTTCATCAAGGACTTAGTCATACAACCTGGCTTCAGACTTTTGTTTATGACTTGCTGCGAAAAGGGCAAGGCGTCAATGTCGAGATGGTCTTCCCAGTTTTAGCCCGAATAATCAGGGGTTACGACCTCTCAATCGCAACGTTCATTCTTCCATTCGCGGCTCTGAACGTTGTCGTGTCTGATAACGAAGAGAACATGGCCAACGTTGGGCGAGAACTTCTTCAGGTATTGCAAGCCGATCTGTCCAAAATGGAGCAGCATGAGGCATCTACTACAAAGCAATGTAGCGAGGTAAGAAGATCTGAGATCATAACCCGGAAGCGATTATTGAATTTTTGCAGAACGTATTCCAGACGCTTGACTACTTTTCATTGTGGTTACAGGAAAAGCGGAAATCCTTGTCAGATGCCAGAGTCATGGCTGGCAAGACAGGTCGCGGTGTTCACGAGAACGAAGAGATGAACGCAATAAAGCAGGTCAGTCGTGTAGAAGGCATACTTCAACTCATTCCTGCAGAGATCATATCTCAGAGAGCTGTTGAATGCGGTTCGTATGCTCGAGCTTTGTTCCACTGGGAGCAGTACTATCGCCAACAACGGGACGTAAAGGCGGAATCAAACCAGCCCTTTTTAGAGAAGGACGAACTTTTGCAACACCTGCAGATGATCTATGCCCATATTGATGAACCGGACAGCATAGAGGGAATATCGGCTCACCTCAAGGTACTCAATCCGGAACAGCAGATAATTGAAGATCGTAAAGCTGGTCGATGGACTGCGGCTCAGAGCTGGTATGAGATTGCACTTGCTGAGAGACCGAACGACGCCGAAACCCAAATCAATCTTTTGACGTGTCTGAAGGAATCTGGCCAATACGGTATGGGTGTATACGAATCTCACAAAAGAATTAGCTAATACCTAGACCAGATGCGATTCTCAATTATGTTGATAGCTTCTACGCCAACAACTCATTTTCAGCCAAGACGTTGCCTTTTGCCGCTGAGGCAGCTTGGTCAGCTGGGAAATGGGAACAACTCGAGCGCCTCCTTAGCAATTCCCATTCCACGGATTCCAATTCTTTCATGGACTTCAACGTAGGTATAGGTCAAGCACTCTTAGCACTTCGTCATGACAAGGTTGCCGAATTTCAACGTCTCATTGCACAGCTCCGAGAACTTGTAGCAAAGAGCTTAACAGTATCAACAACGGCTTCTGTCCAAGCATCACATGAGCATTTGGTCAAGCTTCATGCGCTGTACGAATTAGAGGCTGTAAGTGGTACGGGTACGGTAACAGTAGACCGTGAAGTGATTCTAGAGAATCTTGATCGACGCCTGGACATTATCGGAGCTTACACCTCAGACAAGCAATACCTATTAGGTATTCGTCGTGCAGCGATGAAACTGTCTCGGTAAGTGCAGCACTTGAACAGCATTGAATACTAATACTGACTGATATTAGGATTCAGTTCAACAAACTCGACATTGCATCTGCGTGGCTCACGACGGGAAGACTTGCTCGCAAGGGCGACTTCATGACGACTGCATTCAACTCCGTACTCCATGCCGAACGACTAGGAGACAATGCATCAAAAATTGAGTACTCCAAGCTGTTATGGAAAGAAGGCCATCACCGCAAAGCTATTCAAAACCTGCGTGGTGCAATCGATAGTAATGTGTTTCAGCATGACGAGACTGTGCCTATTAACGTTTCGGTGACCACTTCTGGCCGAGGAGAAGAGCACCCAATGAACAAGGTCAAGTGCCACGCTCAACTGTTGCTCGCGAAATGGCTTGATCGTGCTGGTCAGACACAAGCGGTTTCTCTCAAAGAAGAGTACGTGACTGGTGTCACAACCTATCCCCGGTGGGACAAAGGTCACTACTATCTAGGGAGATGGTACCTTAAGCTATTGGAGTCCGAGAAACAGCAGTCAGTAGCGAAGCAAAGCCCAGAATATCTATCTGGAAGCTTGACTAAGCTCGTCATTGAGAATTTTGTTCGATCAACGGTCTACGGAACAAAGTACTACTATCAAACTCTGCCCAAGATACTCACGCTGTGGCTGGACATGGGCATGGAAGTCATGAATAACGTCCCACGCGCCGCAAAGGATAAAGAATTTCATGAACATCGGCTGGGCTATCTCGACCATATCAACAAGTATCTGAAGCGCTATGCAGGAGAGCGAATGCCCGCTTTCGCATGGTACACCGCCTTCCCGCAGATCATCACACGCATCAGCCATCCCAATAAGACTGTCTGGGATGCTCTCCAGATGATCATCATTCGAGTTGCTTCATCATACCCTCAGCAATCGCTATGGGCTTTATTGGCTGTCCTCCATTCAACCCAGGACGACCGCCGAATCCGTGGCTCTGGAGTGCTGCAAAAACTACGCGTAAGTTCCCAAGCTGGTCAAGGCGAAAAGACTCGCTAACAAAAAATAAGGATACATCAAAGCGCAAGGGAACGTCTGTTGATCTTAAGAATCTCATCATTCAGGGCCAGCGACTTACTGATGCGTTGCTGGCGGCTTGCGATGCCCCAATTGAATCGCGAGTTGCACGTGTGAGCCTAGCAAGGGATCTTGGATTCAGCCACAAGCTTGCTCCTACTCAACTAGTGGTTCCAATTGAGACCAACCTTCTCCCAAATTTACCAGTAGGTAATGATAGCCAAGCCATTCGTCGTCACAACCCATTCCCTGTAGACCCCATCACGATCCAGTCGTTCGATGACGACGTGCTGGTCTTGTCATCACTTCAGCGCCCACGAAAGCTGAACGTCCGTGGATCCGATGGACGCTCTTACGGACTGCTCTGCAAACCAAAAGACGATTTACGCAAAGATCAGCGTCTAATGGAGTTCAATGCTATGATCAACCGGGCTCTACAAAAGGACATTGAATCCAGCAAGCGTCGCCTGTACATCAAGACATACGCAGTCACTCCACTCAATGAAGAGTGCGGAACAATCGAATGGGTTGAGGGCCTCAAGCCAATGCGCGACATCATTATGCGTTTCTATCGCCAGCGCAACATCTCTATTGATTACAACGAGATCCGCATGCTACTCAACGAAGCCTCGTCATCGCCATCCAAGATCCCCATCTTCACCGAGCGCATCCTCGGCAAGTTCAAACCCGTGCTGCACGAATGGTTCGTCGAAACCTTTCCCGAACCAGAAGCATGGTTTGCCGCACGCCTGCGCTACACTCGATCCTGCGCAGTGATGAGCATCGTAGGCCACGTCCTGGGTCTGGGTGATCGTCACGGCGAAAACGTGCTCCTGGAACAAGGCGACGGTGGTACCTTCCACGTAGACTTCAACTGTCTCTTCGACAAAGGTCTTACATTCGAGAAACCCGAACTCGTTCCCTTCCGCCTGACGCACAACATGGTGGATGCCATGGGCCCGCAAGGCGTCGAAGGCCCGTTTCGCAAAGCAGCAGAGCTCACGTATAAGCTTCTTCGCCAGCATGAAGATACGCTCATCACGATATTGGAGACGTTTGTGCACGATCCTACGGCCGACTTTCTGGGTGGGAAGCGCAGGAAGAAGATTGCGGGTGTGCCGGATACGCCGCAGGAAGTTTTGGACATTACGAGGACAAAAGTGAATGGGTATTTGAAGGGTGAGAGTGTACCGCTGAGCGTGGAGGGCTATGTCGAGGCGCTTATTGCCATGGCGAGGGATCCACAGAACCTGGCGGCCATGTACATTGGATGGTGTGCCTTCTTTTAAGCTAGAGAGGGCGACCTTTTTTCTCTCTCTACGATGCCAGGATTATGCTTTGGAGTGTGTGGGTATGCTTGAAGGACGCGTGACAAATGGTGTTGTGTGGAATACATCATCGAACTGTATGTAGGCTTCTTTTTTTTGGTGTACCATGCATGCAGTTTGTGTATTAGTGGTTAGCGGCTTTAAATGGAAATAAAATGTGCATATACAAGATTGGCATTACAATACGTAATGTAAAAGGTAGGTTACTCCCATTCTCTCAAAACGCCAGAACAAAGAAGTGCTAAGGAAAGTGATGATACCCAAAAGAATCGCTCAAGCGAGTTGCCTACCATGCATGGTGGTGGTGCCATATATCATCATGCAAACTTTCTGCAGTCGTCTTTCGTAGCCTCAGTACAAGCGCTAATGTGCCAGCCGTCTTGCATAGCCAGTCACCGCTTCTTACCCCCGCACGTCTTCAATATCGCATTGATCCTCCTCCCCCTTCTCCACCAAAACCATCTCTTCGATTCAAACTCGCAGATACATGCATGACCTCTCTTCCACCTCCCCTCTTTAACAGCACTTGCCACCCATGCCTGCATTGCCACCGTCCTGCCCGCCGACATCCACCTTTGGCGTGGCAGTCTGGTCTGTCCTTGCAGTATCGATCAACCGCTTCTTGATATCGCCGGCCAAGCTGTAAAAGGCCTTGTCAACGTTGATGTTGCTCTTTGCAGAGACCTCGAGGAAAGGGATTCCGAGCTCGTCAGCGAGAGCCTGGCCTTGTTCTGTCGAGACGGCGCGCTTCTCTTCCCAATCGCACTTGTTACCAATGAGAATCTTGTTGACACCCTCGGTGGCGTGTTGTTCAACGTTGGCGAACCATGTGCGAATGTCTGGTGATAAAATGTTAGTGACGTCTTCTATTTTCTTTTGTTGCTTCTCTCCAGAGCCTCTCGGGGGACACGATCAAGCTCTTGGAGGTGATGGGACAGACGTACTGGTGAAGCTCCTCTCGTCGGTAACGTCGTAGACTAACAGAATGCCCATGGCACCCCTGTAGTAGGCCGTGGTAATGGTCCGGAAACGCTCTTGACCTGCCGTATCCCATATCTGGAGCTTTACGCGCTTGCCGTCAAGCTCAATCGTGCGGATCTTGAAGTCGATGCCGATGGTGGTGATGAACGAGGGAGTGAACGAGTCTTCGCTGAAGCGCAGCAGACAGCACGACTTGCCTACGCCTGAGTCGCCTATGAGGAGGAGTTTGATCTACAAGGACAGAGGGACTTGTGTTAGAGAGTGGGTCCTGTATACAGGCGGTGGAGGGGTGTTCAGGGCCTAGCAGCGAGTGTGGGGGATGCTAGGGCCGCGAGGGCAAATAAACATGGGGAGAGAGAGAAGAGGAGCTTACAAGAAAGTCATAATTTCTGGAGCCAGCCATGTTGGTAGAGTGCGGCCGTGTGCGTTATCGTGCGCGAGAGTGGGTTGCGGCGTTGGCACCCGCTGTTTGGGGAGTGAGATGGGGAAGCTGGCTTTGGCTGGCGGTCGCAAGAGAGACTAGGCTGGCAATGTACCCGAGTTCGTATCTGAGTGTTGCTACAGGCACAAGGTAGGCTGGGGAAGGGTTGGCGGTGGGTTTTGGTTACCAGCAGGCAGCGAGTAAACGGCGTTGGAGGGAAGCCTTCCCACGGTGCCAACGTTGGAGTTTAGCGCCAATAGTCCGCACGGGCTCACCAAACCTTCGTCACTGTCACCTGCAACAAGCGACAAGAGGCGACTTGGTGGCAACTGCGCCTACAGTCTGGCCTGACCCGGCGTCATCGTCACCATCACTCGACATTTGAGACATGGCGGCTTGTCATGTTTGGGGTATACAGTACATGTTTTGCATTGTAGTCGACAAGTCCGCTATTCATGGGTACACCAATGCTGCGTCATCCCCGTTACGGAAGACCGCCTTGCTCAAACAACCCATTTTGAGTAGGCCCACCTTATGCGCTCAACTACCTTCTGTTGTCGCTGCAGCCCGCTTCTAACGTCCACAATCTCGTCTATCTCGACCAGCAAGTCCTGGAACATGCGTCGGGGCAGGGTGCCACTTGCAGCTTGTCGGAGGAGATGGACTTCGCAGAGGAGTAAACCGTGGTCTTTGTACGATATTTCGCCGTCTGCTGTCGGAACCGCTCCAGTAAGGATGCGGTCAATGTTACGCAGAATGAGTATCATACGGCCCTGCCTCGCCCACTGCTGCACTCCTTTGCGACTGTTGAAGACGCCCCGAAGCCAGCGATAGACGCCAATGCTTACCAGTACACCTGGTGTCAAACCAATGAAGCCAAAAAGTAGCTCCTGACTCTTGAGAATGCTGTCAATGCCACTCATCGCGACCTCGACATCAACCTTGGTCTTTTGAACCTGAATAAGTAACGCGCTGGCTAGATTGCCGACTATGGCACCTCTGACAGGATTTTGGATGTCTTTCTCGTAGGACTTGAGAACTGTTGTTAGATCGCCCTCGCGCACCTTTGCCCTGATGTCAGCTATCTGAGACTCGTTCAATGCCGGGCCCTCAGAATTCTTGACTGCAAAATCTACAACCATGCGCTCCAGACTGGCACGATCCGATTCCAGACTGCGTTTGCTCATGATGGAGACCTCGCTTTCCTCGTTGTGGCGAATAGTGCCGATGATTCTCTTGGTGGGCTCAATTACCCAATTCGCCCAAAAGTCGATGACGGTTTGCCCCAGCTCACGGATCCAAGTTAGCAGCTCTTCCCTTCGATTTACAACGATACGCAAGATGGTGGTCGAAGATACTAGCAGTAGGGTTGCAGGGAGCCAATAACGTATCAAAAGGGAAGGACGACCATTGGCCTTAGCGACTGCGTTGAAGTTGGCAGTATAGGTAGGTAAGGCAGTTTTGAGCAGGTGCTGGAGACGTTCTGCAACTTCTGCTGGCTTCAAGGTAGTTGCAGCCCGTTCACCAGAAGGCTCATGTAGCAAATAGAACTGGTCGTCTTGAGTGATGCTGGTAACCGAGTCGTCGAACTTGTCAACAGAAAGCTCTGCAGCATTCACGCTCTGAATCACAGCATCCATGAGGGCAATGTTCTTGGACATGACACTCTTCCACCTTTGTCCGCTTTGAGCGCCGAGCAGGGTAGGCGTGTGTGTGCCATCGTCATGCACGCTGGCAAATGTCAGCAGATGTCAATGTGACTAGACGGTTGCCGTACTTCTCGTTACCCAGACCTTCGCCGAGTAACACACCGAGTGCATTGGCATTGACCATTCGTATCTTCCTTAGAGCTGCACGCTTTTTCCTGCCCTCGTTTCTCACAAGTGCCAGCGGGCTTACTACTCTTCGCTGGATATTTGCAATGCTGCGCTCCTGCACGGTATCCTTGACTAGGCCGTAAAATTGGCTCCAACCATCAGCTAATTGAGGGCCTCTTGAGCGTATATCGTGGTATATCTCCTGCGACCATTTCCACAGCCGAACGGGCGATGTCTGCACAGAGTACAGTCCGGCAAAGCTATAGGTAGAGAGGATGTCGTCCCAGTACCAGAGATCATTCTCGAGAGGAATTGTCTGCTCCAATATGGTGTTCAGAACCTGTCCGTAGGCCTGCGTTGTCGCCTTGCTAACGAGTAGCCATTCCAATTCATGTTCATAGCTTGCATCCTCGATTGTGGTAGAGATATGTGCTCGCTGCAAGGTTTCGGATATTCTGGCCGCTGGGACCAGACTGTGCTTGGAAGAAGCGGTTGTGGAGAGCGACTTGATGAGGTTTTGCAAATGAGCAATGCGGCTTGTCTTTGCTGGGTCATGGGCCTCCTCGGCGGTAATAGAGAAGGTCCTAGTGCTCGACGACAGCTGCAGCCGATCGAGCTGGCTGTCTATCCGGCGCACCTGGCTAATTGAACGTCAGCTGTGACTGTGCGGTGCTCCAATTGATCGACTTACTCAACCACAAAAGACATGGCTACCAGCGCGTTGACATGTTTGTGGGGGTGGTTGCGGCAGGCTTATTTTGGGGCGAGGGGATCTGAACCAGGATGGGGCGCGCCTTCCCGTCCAAGATGACGCGTGCTACCACCACCGCTTCCCTTGAACTTTGCAACTTTAGTTTCTACATCAATCACTCAATTTGTAATCATTTTTAAGATGTGTGCGTGGAGCTTTGAAAGTACGTAACACCAAAATTCTAGAGGCAACATGACATGAGAGAAGTAAGGAGTGCTGCCCAAGAATTGCGCAACACCAGACTGGCCATGGCGTGATTTCTTTGAGTTGTCAAGATTGGTCATCAAATGCACGCGATAGTGTACCAGTTCTGGCCAGAAACATTCTTATTTTATCCTCTAAGTACGTAAGTCATATCACATTAAGGTTGATGTCCTTCGCCAACCCCTGGGAGTTGTGCGTTTCGTAAGACGGTGGACGGGCCCTTGAATTGACGCCTGGACAATTTGGTGCCGAACTAACAAAGAATCGGAAACCTAGCCCTGTCCCGAGAACCAGTCTGCGGGCTTCGGAAGATTAATGTCAAGCTGCCCCGTTCTCCTGACAATCTTCCTAGCTGCTAGGATGGGGCGAGGAGAGCCGCAACGTTTAGCCCACGACGCGAGCACCCATTCGGACCGAGGGCTGATCTGCAATCTCATCCATATCCATGGGATGTATCGCGCCGGTCGCTTCTTGGTCTGACAAGCGAGCGCTCATGGGTTCTAGCACTGGACTGGGTGAACGGGAGATGTCGAATTGTGGCACAGTCAACCTGATACCGTTTTGTTGGGCCTCGGGGGCTAGCAAGGTACCCTCGTCAAGTAGCGAGTCGCGCTTTCTGGGGAGCTTCTGACGCATCCCTAGCTCCTTTCCGACCCTTTCAATACTCTTGAAGTACTATGACAAGCATGTCAGACGGCATGATGACTTGAATGCAAATGACCCATGCAACTTACCTTGACAGTCTTTACCTGAAGTTCCAGGGTGGCGTCTTCGTCGACGACAATCAAGGGATGCGGGTGCATCTGCAGACTGGACAGAGTCCACATGTGATTGACACCCCCCTCGATGCATCGCTGGAGGGCGGGAGCCTTGTGTGCACCAGTGATGATGATGACAACCTCGCGGGCCTATATTTATTGGTGAGAGGGTGAAGGGGCGGCTATTGTGATGTGTGCAACTTACGTCAAGCACAGTTTGGACACCAACCGTCAGGGCCATCTTGGGCACTTGGTCCAAGTCATTGCCAAAGAACCTCGAATTTGCAAGTATAGTCTCATAGGCAAGAGTCTTGACACGAGTGCGAGACTTGAGGCTGGAGCCTGGTTCGTTGAAGGCAATGTGACCATCGGGACCAATGCCGCCAAGGAACAGCTCGATGCCGCCGACACGGCTGATCTTGTCTTCGTAGCTTTGGCATTCGGCCTCGAGGTCAGGGGCATTTCCGTTGAGGATGTTGATGTTGTCTGGTTTCACATCGACGTGGGAGAAGAAGTGCTTGTACATGAAGCTGTGATAGCTTTCTGGATGGTCGCGGGGAATGCCAACATACTCATCCTAATTGGGTCACTGTTACTATGGCTTGGCTCGAGGCGAGGCTGCTGTGCAACATTGGGAGTAGAACTCGTACCATGTTGAACGTGACTACATTGCGAAACGAGACCTGGCCCGCCTTGTGGCGCTGGACCAGGTGTTTGTAGATGAGAATGGGGCTGCTGCCGGTGGGCAGGCCCAGGACAAAGGGTCTGTCGGGGGTGGGGTTGAAGGCATTGATGCGCTCTGGTGTTGATGTGTGAGCGGGTTAGGGAAGGTGCATTTGGGGGCGTGAGCAACGGACCAATAATGTAATCTGCAATGTACTGGGACGCAGCCCGGGCGTCGTCTCTGATGATTAGGCGCCTAGGTGGTATAAGCCGGGTTGCATTCGTATTGCGTCGAGGGGCAATAGGGCTTACATGGTAGATCTGTATGTATAGTGTGTATAGTATGTGAGTAGGCAGAGTGGGTAGGTGTGTATTTGCCTGTGATGATTGCGGGTGGGATGTGCAATGGGGGAGTGGACATGATTTCTATCATAGCAGTACAAAGTTTCACGTCATAACCTTGTCAAAGTATCATTGCAAATTTGTTCACGATGCGCGGATTGATTGTCAAGGGTTGGGAGCGGCCGAGGTTGCCTGATGCAGGCATGTGGGTGAAGGACGGACGGCTACTAGTCAACGTCGCGATGCAAGGCAGGCGTAGAGTTGCAGATCGAGAGACCGAACAAAGACCGGTTGCAACGGTGTGCAATGTTACGGGAGCATGCGTTATCTCTAGCCGATGCCGCTCGTGACGTTGGTGATGGTGATGATGATGATTGTGATGATAGCGACGGTGGATGCAGATGCAGATACCAACAGATAGCAGTGGACACCTAGGTCGCGTGCCGTTGGGGTAGCGAGTAGCGGGCAGCGAAGATGAAGATGCTATCCCAATGGGGGGCCAGCAGATGGTCGTGTTACATTGCTGGAGCACGTATGGCCCATGCAGTACCGACTCACGTGTAGGAAACATGTTCGCATGCGTCTGTGTGTGTGTAAGTATGCTGGGTAGGATGGGTGCGGGGTGGCGGGGTTGCCAGAGCGTTGCAGCCAGGTAGTAGCAGGTAGTAGTCATGGTGGTGGATAGTGTGGCCGTTGCAGTTTGCTCCCCCATGTGCCGCGTCCCGATACAGCGTAGCGCAGGCATAGGAGTGGATGGATGCGCCTGTGCCCTCCGATAAGCCCAGAGCGCAAGGCTCCAAGGCTCCTCGCCTCCAACGCCCCGCTTGGGCCGGCCAAGGGCCCACCGAGACCCTCGATATGCCCGATCCGAGAACCACGACTGCAGACTGGGCAATGCGCTAGGACGTGGATACGAGTCGCGTCTGCCGGCCTGCCCAGTGCGTGTCTGTCTGTTCTATCTTCGTCTGTATCCGTCTGCCAGTCTATCGGCTTCCCTGCCAGCCTGCCAGCCTGCATGCATGCGTTGCTAAGTAATGTTGCTGGCCCAGTCGCCGTTCCAGTCACCCAGTCTCCGGCCAGCTGCACATCCTGGCATCTCGCATTCTAGCATCCTGGCATCCTGGCATCCTGGCATCCTGGGCAGCCTTCACTTGGCCCCCTTCTGTCTTTGCCCTCACATCGTCTCACAGCACTGCACCACGGTCGCGTGCTGATGGCCGCCTCGTCTAACCCAAATCCACATTTGGCTTTCGAGGCACCATCAACAGCCCCTAGCGGACGAATGCTTAAAATGAAGCTGCCCCTCGCTTTCACCACCCCGACCCTCACGTAATTGTCCCGACTCCTGTTCAGCCGTCGCAGTGGTCTGAGCGTTACGATTCGACATCTTTATCGCCTCGTGCCCGCCTGCTCCTTCCGACTCGCGACAGCGTGCCTTCCTGCCCACTACACCACGCCCGCTGCATCCCAGCCTCGCCATCCACCCTTTGTGCGCGCCCGCGCCAGACCATCCCCCACCATGGCAACCTCGACCGACAAGGACAACTTGGCCCACCACGTCAACTCGGCAGACCACTCGCTGACGGACAGCACCGCCCTGGACCTGCCAAAGTCATGGAAATACCGTCGCTTCACCATCGCCGGCTTCAAGTTGCCCTGGTTCGCTTCTCCCCCGACCCAGCTCGTCATTGTCTCCTTCGTCTGCTTCATGTGTCCCGGCATGTTTAATGCTCTCAACGGCATGGGCGGCGGCGGCCAGCTGGATCCCACCGCAAACAATCGCGCAAACACGGCTCTGTACTCAACCTTTGCCGTCATCGGCTTCTTCGCTGGCACCTTTACCAATAAGCTTGGTATCCGCACCTCCCTGTCCTTTGGCGGCATTGGCTACTCCGTCTACGTCGGCTCCTATCTCTGCTACAACCACACCCAGAATCTGGGTTTCACCACTTTTGCCGGCGCCCTGCTTGGTGTATGCGCTGGTCTGCTGTGGTGTGCCCAGGGTGCCATTATGATGTCGTACCCACCCGAGGCTTCCAAGGGTCGCTACATCTCGTGGTTCTGGATGATCTTCAACTTGGGCGCTGTAATTGGTAGTTTGGTACGTTTCTCTCCTTCCGCCCTGCTCCGTCCGCCAATGACTAACCCTCCTAGATTCCCTTGGGCCAGAACATCCACACCAAAACTGCTGGAACTGTGAATGATGGTACCTATGTCGGTTTCCTAGTGCTCACCATCCTCGGCGCCGCTCTTGCATGGACCCTCGTTGATGCACGAGATGTCATTCGTGACGATGGATCCAAGGTCATTGTCATGAAGCACCCCTCATGGAAATCGGAGATTAGCGGCCTATGGCAGACCTTCTTCACGGACCCGTACATTATCCTTCTTTTCCCCATGTTCTTGGCATCCAACTGGTTCTACACATATCACTTCACCCAAATTAATGCTGCCTACTTCAACGTTCGCACACGGGCTTTGAATGGTGTTGTCTATTACATCATGCAGATCATCGGCGCTTACATCTTCGGCTATGGGCTTGACGTCAAAGGCGTCCGCCGAACAACCCGAGCCAAAGCCGCATGGGCCGCGCTCTTCATCAGCGTCATGCTCATCTGGGGCTTTGGATACATGTTCCAGAAGACTTACGACCGCGCCTGGGCTGAAAATGAGAACAACATGAAGAAGGATTGGTCTGATGCAGGCTATGCTGGTCCCTTTGTTCTCTACATGTTCTACGGCTTTTTTGATGCTGCTTGGCAGACATGTGTTTACTGGTACGCTCTTCATAAACCCTTCATATTCCGACATTTTACTGATTTCATCCAGGTTCATGGGAGCTTTGACCAACAACAGCCGCAAGCTTGCCAACTTTGCAGGTTTCTACAAGGGAATCCAGTCTGCCGGAGGTGCCATTACCTGGCGTTTGGATGATTTGAAGGTCTCATACATGGCCATGTTCGCCTCCAACTGGGGGCTCCTCGCCGGTAGTCTGTTGGTGGCCCTCCCTGTGATCCTTTGGAAGGTTGAGGACACTACTGCGGTTGAGAAGGACATCGAGTTCACAGACGAGACAGTCGCCGATGTCTTGCCTCATGCGCATACTGAGTCTGCACACATTGAGCCAGAAAAGGTTTAATCTAGCTGTACAAAGCATGCTTATGACTGGGGGTTAACGGGTAACGACGGGGGTTGGCGTTTGAAACTTGTTTGTTTATGATACCTGAAACGGAGTTGCATTGTGTGGTTCCTCTGGTATATCATTTTGCAGTCCTAATGCCGACTTTGCATATGCGCCATCTTTAGGCGTCTATGAGTTTCGCGTGATATTACCTTTCTTTTTTCCAAATGTACATACGATAGTATAGCAAGATAAGAACAATCTAAGGAGTGGGGCATGGTAGATTTACCAACACATGTGTGCTCGTGCTTGGTTGGTCTCACAAGGTATGCGCTCATACCAATGGACAACGTTGGTGCGCAGCATTAGCCCAAATACGGTAACCAACACGTAGTACTGTAGTATAAGCCTGGCCTGATCGCTACCAGATAGACGTGCATGCGTCCGTCCACGGCCGCTTCTAGATTGCCCCTCGTAGGTCGCCTAATAACAATGCCAGCATGCACATGCTCGTTTCTCGGTCTGCTGGGGGCAAATGGCCTCGGACTGGGCAGTCTTTGCGGGAGCACGAGGGAGCCTGGTGGCACAGAGATGTCCCCCAGTGGGGTTAGTAGTTATGTGCCGTCAGCCGTTGGGGAGATAGTCGAGTCCTAGGCATGTAAGTGGCTCCCCATTACGTTTTGGTAAGCGCCATCTGGCAACGGCGCCTGTTTGTGCAGTGTCAGATACTAGAGCAGAATAGAGGATATGTCGGCGGGAACATGTCGCAACGCATGTCCAGTATTAGACCCGACCGAGTAGAAACCGATTCTATTCTTGGCGCTGGCGGACCCAGGATACAGGACACGTGCCGTGCCTCCAACATGCATATTCTCGAGCGTAGCATTCTCCATCCTCGCGCCAGACGTTGGGTGCATACGCGTAGCCGCGGGCAAGCTACGCTACGGCTGTACGATGATCGCCACAGACGCATGAAATCTGCAGCCGGGTTGTATCATTGTGTGGCCAAGTCATCCGCCGTAGTCCTATCACCCACGCTTGCGGCTAGATTTGCGGCCCCGATATGGACTAGCGGGCCTCAGCGACTGTAACGGTAGCAATGGCTGTTAGGAAACTTTCTACGACACCCCACCAAACGCTCGCCATGACAGCTACGCCATACTTGTGCCTACTCGCTGAGCGTGCCTGGAACCAGCGGCACGCCATCGACTATCACTTTGCGGCCGCTAGCTGGCGTGTCCAAGACGGCTGATTATTCCTGTTTCCCTTCGGTCACTCTCTCCTGCCCCTGTGTGCTGGGCCTCATCTGCACATTTCGCACGCCTGTCATCGGAGCAATACCTTGCTACGTCTGCTAGTGGATACAACCCTCTTTGTTGTTCTGACCAACCGTAAAACCATGTCCGGGTGGATTTCTGCAACCTCAGTTTACTAATGCTACCGGCCCGCGTCGCATCTCTATGCATCTCCATATCCGCAGACCGACCTTCCAACATCCTTGGTCTTTACGTGTTTAATTCAGCGTTTTCAATAAAGTCTTAATCCAGAGACTCTGTCCTTACCGTCTCAGCCAGGCCGCACAGCTTACCTTTTCTCCATGCCCCCTCTGTTGCTACACCGCTCCAAGAATCGTCGCGTCACCGTTATTCCGGACCCCAACAACTCAGGTGACGCTTGCCACACAGCAACAGACAACGACCCTCGCCAACGCAAATACAAACGGCTCATGTTGGATTTTTGGCAAGGGCTCCTTGCGGCTCTAGAAAGACTCGCCATGTTACCATCAGTCATGCACTCTGTGCTGCCAATATTGTCGCCACGAAAACGCACCCGAGATGCATTGCGGACCTATGACCGGACCATGGAGGACATGTTGCGCGAAATCCAGACCCTCCTTGAAGCACCTTTGGATAACGAAAATCTGTTGGACATGTCTGCAGCGCTGCAAAGGCAATTTGCCCCAAAACTAC